CCCCAAAACCCCAAAACCCCAAAACCCCAAAACCCCAAAACCCCAAAACCCCAAAACCCCTTCCAAAAGACCTAAATTTAAAATTCATCTTCTTATATATCCATGTCAAGGACTGTCTCCAAATAAGCCATCTCATAATGATCATCGACGATATATACCAAGAAGTCAGGATACCATTGGTTTTCCCTCTCTTCTCTGAAGAGCTGGTAGAACAGCTCTAATGAATCCTGACCGAAATGGTTGCCAAATAACTTTATTGAGAGAATTGTCGAATTTTCAGACAAAGACTGGGCTAACTGTAACAGCCCAAAGTCTTCAATCTGATTGTGAGACATATCTAGATGGATCAGAGACTTGTTAATAGGCAATGCCTGAGCAATAGCCTTTGCACCAAAGGACCCACATTCATTTGCTCCTAAGTGGAGAGACTCAAGAGTTCAGTTCTCTGATCGTAAATATTTTGCTATTGATTCACAACCTTTGAACTTAATCTCATTAGCAGTCAAGTCCAAAACCCTGAGAGTGTTGTTCTCAAGGAGATATTCCATAATAGTGAAAACTCCTGCACATCTCATTTTATGCTTCTGCATTGACAATTTTTGAATTCCTAGATTATTCTGAAACATTTTTCCGAAATGAATCGCAGTTGATTGACAAATAGTGCTGTAATCAGGGTTGTCAATATTCAGGACTTCCAAAGTGTAGTTTGAGCAGTTCAAGACACTCAATATACCAATGATTCCATCATGAGTGATATCATTATTACCCAAATTCAATTCAAGGAGTTTCTTATGAGTAAATAATAGCTCTGTAATATTCATAGCTCCATCAGTCTGGATCTTGTTTCCATTGAGGTAGAGATACTGCAATAACTCACAATTCTTCAAAGCTTCTGCTAAATATTGGGCTCCGTTTACCTCAATAGAGTTTCCTTCAAGGTTGAGGCCAAGAAGTCTCTCTGATTTTTCAATAAGCTGAGACAAATATTGTGCTCCTTCATCATGAATCTCATTGAATTTCAGATCAATTTCCTCAACATACACAGCATAATCCTCCAAGACATCGACTATTGGCTTGAGATCGATATCAGTGACTCTTCAGGTAAAATTTTCTTTACTATTTCCATGAATTACAAGATCAATAGACTCATTATCCTCCTCGGTCTCTTCAAGGTATCTCACAAAAGCTTGATGAGGAGTGAGTTCCATCTCTTCACACTTTTTCTTGTATTTATCTAAAACTATTGATTTTTGAAGACTCTCAAAATCTCTCTCATTAGCCTGAATTTCTTCTTCACCTTCTCCTTCCATTCGAAAATTAATTTTATTTCAAAAATTATATAAATTTTCGGGGTTTTGGGGTTTTGGGGTTTTGGGGTTTTGGGGTTTTGGGGTTTTGGGGTTTTGGGG